ACTTAGCCAAACCTCTAGACTCCCCAAGTTGACACAATGTATCAACCATAACAGCTTATATTCTTGTAACGCATCAGGATTTGTATTTTCAGTGAGTAGCCAAGGAAACCGAAACACTCCTGCTCTTCTCTTAGAACCCCCAAATTCTAATTGATTGCCTTTTCTCCTCAGCTAGGTTGTCTTTGTTCTATTATAGATTTATTAATATTATAAGCATTATCTTTGTTGTTGTCTTTCAAAAAATGAAGTCTGGGTCAAGCCTGATGAAAAGTATCAAGCTCTGATTTCCCAGTCTCCCAATAACACATTTGGTCCTGAATCTAAACCCTCGGAGAGTCATCGGATCAGAATTATGAATTCAGTGACTGTGCTTTTGGCTCTGAAAACAGTTATAAATGTGCAAATATCAACACGATCTTGCATAAATTTCCAGTGGTGTGTATCAATTTCTGATCAGGTAAAAGCTGATAGCCTTTCTTGAAATCACAAATTATTTCTAAGAGAAAGTTTTAGTAAGTAAATATTGAGAGAAATATTTCATTACAAAAGTCAGTGGAGTCCACAAAAGAATAACATGTAGAAACAGCCTTTTATCTCTTGGTTAAAAATGTTCAGTATGTGAAACTTAGCAAATACCAGACATTGGGAATCCCTCTTATTGATGGTGACCCCCTAAAGGTTGAAAATAGTAGAAAACAACCGCCATAAACCAGCAACATAAAAGTGCGCTACACTAACTGAACTGGTGGGAAAGGAATACTAACAATGAGGCATTTATCACATACTTATAACGGTGATCTAGGCCGTGGTTAGCAAGCAGTGACCACAGCTAAATCCAGTGCTCCTGTTTTTGTAAATAAAGTTTTATTGGAACACAGCTGTGCCTGTTTGTGAACTGACTGTCACTCCTCACTTTTATTTCTAAGAGAAGATTTTAGTAAATAGCAGAACTGAATAGTTGTAACACTGGCCATATGTCTCCCTGTGCAAAGCCTGAAATATTTATTGCTTGGTCTTCTGCAGCAAAACTTTGCTGACCCCCAGTATGGGATGAGACAGGGGTTAGCTCTTCTGCAGCAGAAAAGGTCAGACTCCGAAAGGCTCAGTGGAACTGTGGGCAGCAAGGTCAGCCTCGCTCCCTCCTACCCCTGCGGTGGGCGTGGTCTGCTCTGGTGCGATGTCCTCACAGAAGTCGAGTGAGGGCCAGCAAGCAGCCACACGATCTGTACACCGCTGTAGTGTTTTCTCCACTCCTGGAACTTTGAGGAGGGGTAATTTTAACAGAGTGTGAGGTACAGCCGTGGGGGTTGTTTTCTAGAGAACTCTTACGTTGTTTGTTTGCTTGTTTATTGATAGTTGGAGAAACAGTACTCACTGTCACTGGCAAATCTGTTAAGGAGGTGATGAAGTTGGACGATGACGAGACCTTTGCCAAATTTTACCGCAGCATGGATTATAACACACCAAGAAGTCCCGTGGAGCTGGACGAGGATTTCGATGTTATTTTTGATCCTTATGCACCCAAGTGAGTTATTCTGGTCTTCATCTTTCCTCCACTAAGACAGGCTTCCTTCACTGTACCCACCCAGTCCTGGAACAGCGAGCTTCTGTCGCTGTGTTACTGTCTCTGCCGCAAAACCACGACAGCTGCACTTTTACTCTAAAGCCAGCTGTGCGGTACCGTGGGGCCCGTAAAGCATACCTGTTGCAGACCAGGTGTGCATACAGGCAAACCGTGTGTGCCACAGATGTTTGCCCTGTTCCGTAAAAATAGCGTCACTGAATTTTTCACATAACTCAGGTATTGCTGTGCACTTTTTTACATTAACACCACTTAGAGATTCCTACACCTGTTCCATCTGACGTGTTGACTTCTCGTAATGGAAAACCATTTGGATGTTATGAACTCAAATTAATACAAGTAACTAGGAAATCAAGAAAGAGTGTGACTTAGCTTACAGTAATATATAAAATCAATAGATCTGCAGGTATTTTCAGAGATGGCCAAAGAGTTCTCTTACATGAGAATGTCACAAAACCACCTAAGCAGTGTCACTGCGATACTAGGACTCTGTCAGTTGCCTAGTGCCAGAGAAATACCTAGGTCACACTGACTTCAGCAAAAGAAAGTTGTGGAAAGATTTATGGATTCAAGGCCCAAAAAGTTCAGGTGTGACCTCAGGTTCTAGCAGTTCATGGGAATGTGGTCTCTCCATGGCCATTTTCACATGGGCTGGCTTCATTCCTGAGGAGGGTTTGCCCATGGGGTGGACAGTGGCCATGCCCAGCTCTGGTTTCACGGGCCACCTCCTTAGCCAACCAGCACCAGGAGATTCTCTTCACAGAAAATCCAGCAGAAATTCCGAGCATGTTCACTGTTGCTTGCGTGAGTTCTAAGTCCCTCCTGAAGACATCCATCCCATCCTAGAGATAGAAGACAAGGCTGGCCAGAGCCAGGATCTAGGTCCTCCCCAGAGCCATGCAGAGGCAGGTGGTGACAGCACCTGAGTTTTCCTTCAGCGGGAAACTCAGGTGCTGTCACCAGAAGCAGAAGTCCACATGCTAGGCAGGCTGCACCCACAGCAACCAGCACACACCTCTTCCTTCCTGCAGAATGATCGGGGGACCTTCTCTTCCAGAATGTTTCTGTAAGCTGCTCCTAACACATTTTTTACATATTTCAGTTTGGTCAGTTTGTTTCAGTTGGCATGTTTCCATTTCTTACCTTTAAAAAATGAACAATTTGCCATTTCAACCTTACCATAATATTTGGGGTGCTTGTGTGCATAATGTAACCATTTCTCAATCTTCTCCCCACCTAAATGTTTATATTGTTATGTAATCTAAACATATACAAAGTGTGCTCAAAACATACACTGAATGTTTAAATCTTTAAAAGCTGATTACAGTAAAAGACACATTGCCCTTAATCCCCTTTAAAATATTCCCCCATCTTGGTTACTTTTTTCTCGTTACTGAGACAAACTACCCAACACCCAAAGTTAAAGAAGGAAAGGTCTGTTCAGCTCACAGTTTGTGAGGTTTCAGTCCATACTCGGCTGGCTCCAAGGCAGGGTGGCAGGGCAGAGGGACAAGGCAGAGAGGGCAGCAGGCAGCAAAAGACAAACAGCAGCAGCAAGCAATAAGCAACCACCCTCTTCCTGTCCCTTATATCGTACCAGGCTACCCATCCTTGAGGCAGGTAGCACTCACGCCCGTGATCCTAGCATCACACCATGAGTCAACCACAGCATCACATCCCTGATCCCAGCATCACACACCCTAGACCCAGCCACCTTCAAGAGCCCCACCTCGTGAGGCTTTGGGGGACATCTAGATACGAGCCACAGCATACTCCCCATGTGTATCGTGCTTGCACTTCCTCAAGCAGTTCCGGAAGTCCTCTTCCGTGAGTGTCTTTAGTCGCACTGTTGCGGCTGCCTTCACGCCCTGAATTGATTCAAAATGTTTCCATAGCATTTTGACGCAGCAGAAGAGCCAGGCAGAACAGCCAGAGCTCTGGCTCTTCCCAGAGATCCCGTCAGTACGGACACACCATGACAGTTTTACAAGCCTGCTTTCCGCTGACTGGCACTCAGCGTTAGCATTCGCTGTACTGTTGACCACACCTCCTAAGGCACTCGTGAAAGGTGCTTCCTAAGGAACAAGAGCAAAGGGGTAAGGTGCTCCAGGTGAGGGAGAAGGTTTTGAGAGGGGCTAATGGCACTGTGTCCTTTCCTGTAAGAAATTTTGTTAAACGTTCACCATACATTTTAGTTACCCTTGTATGTGTATGTGTGTATTCTCACTAGTGCACACACACAGACACACACCCCAGTGTTTACATAAACACTCTCAGGCACAGAGCTGCACCCTGGGGAGCTGAGCGCGCTGGCAGCAGTCCCCCAAGAGCTCGTGTAGCTGTGCCCAGCACTCCCCATGCTTCTCTGCTGCCCACAGCCATGGAAAGCTGCAGGGCAGCCAGTGGCGTGGCAGGCTGTGTTAGTTCAATACATTATCACGGTTCTTTTTCTCAGGGGTCCACAGGGTGAGAGGAAGCTCACTGTGGACGGATGCGAGGGAACTGAGAAGCTGCTTTGTGAAGAGCGTGTCTAATCTGGCAGGGAGGCCTGGATGGAGAGGCGGTGGTGGCTTGTGAATTCTCCGGGGCCATCGCTGTACTATTCCAGACAGCACTGCACCCAGAGAGACATGGGTGTAGGCACGAGGGGGACCGACAGGGCTCCCTACGCTTGTGAGCTGTCTGGCAATGGAGTAAGCTGCCCCCCGAAGCACTGATGCCCCTCCAGGCTGAGCGCAAGGAGGCCTAGGAGATTCGTGGGAACCCTCTGTTCATGCCCCTGATGCTCCCTTCCTCCGCCAAGACCCTGTGACTCCATCTCAGGGTAGAGGTGGTGGGAGGAGCTATAATCTTTATAATGACTGCAGCTGAGGCAGGAGGATTCCTAAGCTCAAGCTCAGTCTGGGCAGTTTAGCTACTTAGTGAGAAAATAAAAAACCTAAGACCAGGCTCAATGTGAAGATACTGGGGTGACTTACAACGAAATCAGAAAATGAACTGTTGGGGTGCACTGCCCCGGGTCCCAAGCCCACTCATTAACCAGACCTGGCTGCTGTTGCTGCTGACCAAACCGAGACTGGCTTTGCTTTACCGGCAGATTGACGTCCTCCGTAGCAGAGCACAAGCGTGCGGTTAGGCCCAAGCGCCGGGTGCAGGCTTCCAAAAACCCACTGAAGATGCTGGCTGCGAGGGAGGACCTCCTTCAGGAGTACACAGAGCAGAGGCTGAATGTCGCCTTCATGGAGTCGAAGCGGATGAAAGTGGAAAAGAGTGAGTGTCAGGAACAGCAGAGACCGCCTTGAGTGGGAGGAGCTCAGCCTAACTGTGAAACAGATTGGTTAGGAATCATTTCTGACGTAAGCACCGTCATTTCACTAAATCTTGCTTCCCCCCTTGGCTTTCCTCCTTCAACCTACCCAGTGTCCTCCAACTCCAACTTCTCAGAAGTAACTCTGGCAGGCTTAGCCAGTAAGGAGAACTTCAGCAACGTCAGCCTGCGGAGCGTCAACCTGACCGAGCAGAATTCCAACAACAGCGCGGTGCCCTACAAGAAGCTGATGTTGTTACAGGTTAAAGGTACTTCCGGGTGGCATGGAGGAACTGCGCACTGAGCAGGGCTTTTTGTCTGGTCTCAGGAGTCCCGAATGCTCCCCTTATTGCCCGTGAGGGTGTGGTGTGCGTGCTTCCTTGAGCCTGCCCTGCCGCGATGCTGTGCCGCGTCCTCACACCTGAGCTGCGCAGAAGCCCGTGAGGCAGCAGGCATCCTGCCCACCGAGGCTTTGAGAAGTTGCTAACATGGTCACAGCAGCGCTGAGGGACAGGCAGACTGCAGGTGTCCCCGCTTCCAGCACCCAGCTCTGCCCCTGCACCCTGACCCCCTGGCCGCGGGGTCTACATCCCTAGTGCTGCACACAGCTAGCAGGTGCACCCTGAGGGCTCAGCATGGACCTCAGCTCTCCCTGCCGGGACCAGCAAGGGCCCGTGAGTGCCAGGGGAGCAGGGCACATTCCTGGGGAAGGAGCTGGGGGTGCAGAAGCCAGAGAAGCAGAGCCTACTGTACCTTTCCCTGTCAGGGAGACTTGGAGCCAAGCAGGGGTGCTGAGTGGGCAGGAGAGGGCCTCTCTGTAGCTGGACTGCGGAGACGTGGATGAAAGCAGTATCCCCCACCTGGGCAAGGCCACTGCCCTGTTTAGTGTACTGAAGACTAGAAACTGGTGACCGGTTCCCACGGCACAAGGCAGAGACAGCACCGCGTGTGCACTGTGGAAAGCTCCAAGCTAACGTCATTTATTGGAAGGGATGAGTGAGGCACAAAGCAGTACTTCCCCCTGAGCTGATTCCTATGTAGATGCCCCATGAGGTATGGTGGAAAGTCTTGGGGAAGGAGATCGGATCCGACAGAAGGCTTGCCTTTCCCTGCAGCAGGGCGGAGATGTAAAGTTAGGAGGCCGAGCGGAAGGGGCACACTTGGCAGTTTCCGTGGAGGGGGAAGCAAAGTGCACCGGGATGCACGCTGTCCGGAGACATGGACGTAGCACGGTCCTAGGCGGTGCGGTGGCATGCGGGCCAGCGTTGCCGAGGGAAGCGGTCGCTAATGCTGCTGTGCAGCCCTCACTCACGCTCCCGCCCACGCCACCCTGCGTCCTGGGAACCGTGCAGCAGCCCACAGTCTTTAGAGGCAGAGGCAGGAAAGTCCGTATCAGGGATGTCGGGCTGTGGGCGCCTCCTGGCCCTGTTCTGTCCAGGAAAACGGTGACCTCAGGCCTCATCTGCAGGGAGAAGACACGTGCAGACCCGGCTGGTGGAGCCACGCGCCTCGTCCCTCAACAGCGGGGACTGCTTCCTCCTGCTGTCCCCCCAGCACTGCTTCCTGTGGGTGGGAGAGTTCGCAAATGTCATCGAAAAGGCAAAGGTGGGTATCTGGACCTCAGGTGCGTCCACTGACGCCGCCTCTGCACACAGGTGGAACGTTCTGCCAGCTCTAGATCCTTGCAAAGCTTTCCAGAAGCCTGAGGCTTCCTTCGAGTGAAAAGGGACAGGTAGCAGTCTTTTTCCTGAGTGTCACTCAAAGAAGCCTTCAAGGGGTGTGAAGGAGGGGATTTTAGAAGGATCCTGACTTGCACTTCCAGTCCTAAAGTTCTCTTTTTCCTGCGTGAAAAAGAGAACCGGCCCCACTTCAAAGTTCCTTATCCCAGGCACACACCTTTTAGAAGAGTCTCATGAGGTGAAGCCAAAAAAACGGAGCAAAAGCTTTATGTATGGTGTGTTTCATATTGAAGATTGAGAACCATCGCTCTAAAGAAATTAGCCAGGCATCGTCACACACACCTGTAATCCCCGTTTATTTGGCAGGCTGAGACAGGAGGTTCACAAGTTGGAGGCCAGCCTGGGCAATTTAGCGAGACTGAAATAAAAGCTAAGAAGGACTGGGGATGCAGCTCAGTGGCAGAGGGTTTGCCTAGCCACTGAGGTGTGCGAGGCCCCAGGGTCAATCCCCAGAATTGTAAAAAAAAAAGAATTGTTGACCCTTGGTGCTTGATTACATTTACTTGACTTTATTGAACATGCCCCACAACCAGTGTCCCCCTGCCCCTGTAGGCACAAGGGGCAGACACACAGTTTGTCTCCTGATTGTGACATGTGCTACTCTATCCAGCCATGGGCTTTTCTAACCAGATGATTGTGTTTCTCTCTCTCTCTCTCTCTCTCTCTCTCTCCTGTCTCTCTCAGGCCTCAGAACTTGCAACTTTAATTCAGACAAAAAGGGAACTTGGTTGTAGAGCTACCTACATACAGACCATCGAAGAAGGAATTAATACACACACTCACGCAGCCAAAGACTTCTGGAAGCTCCTGGGTGGCCAAACCAGTTACCAATGTAAGAGCTACTGTGTTTAAGGGACTGAGAAGACTTGAACTTCCTTTCTTCCCCCTTGGTTCATTCTTCTAAACCAGCTACTTTTGACGTACAATGTGATGCTTTCCTATTGTTCTTGCCCCAAAGCGGCTGGTGACCCGAAGGAAGACGAGCTGTATGAAGCAGCCATCATAGAGACAAACTGCATTTACCGTTTGGTGGATGACAAACTCGTCCCCGATGACGACTACTGGGGCAAAATTCCCAAGTGCTCCCTCCTGCAACCAAAAGAGGTACAGTGCACGTACTGGCCAGCTTTCTTGTTGCCAGGCCAACACACCTGACGCAGCAACTTCCTGGAGGGAGGGTTTCTTTGGGCTCACAGCTTCAGGGCTTTCAGTCCACGGCTAACGGGCTCTGAGGCAGAACCATCACACTTGGTGAGCCTGGCAGGGGGAAGCTGCCCACCTCGTGGCAGCCAGAAAGCTGAGTGAGGAAGGAAAAGCCAGAGAGAAAGGGGCCAGAGACCAGATATGGTCCCCAAGGTCACAGCCTGGACCCACGCAGACATAGCCAGGCACATGTCAAGCCAATCAAATTGATGGTCAAGATTAACCATCGCAGTGCTTGAACAAGACTACACACTTAGAGCACTCTGCCCGGGGGTGTCCAATAGAATAGTGAGTGTCCACTGAAGGACAGCGGCTTTAGGACCATCTCTCAAACACTGAAGCTCTTTAAAAGGTATTTACTTGGAATTTCAAACCATTGCATCCATCTGAAATACTAATACAGAAATCAGAATGTTATTCAGAGGTGGCCTAGATCATTGAAGACATTTATATTTTAGGCAAAATGTGTTAGCCCTATCACTTGAATTCTGTAGGCAAAATATTTTTGGTTCCTAACATTCAGCAAAGGTAGATGCATGTATGTATAATATGGATTTTCCAAGTAAGGTGATTTTTTTTCTACTATGATATGGAGGACATTTAGATGGAAATAAAATCATAGACAAAGAAATAATGAGGAATAATTTTTAAAAGAAAGTGAAATTGAGCCTAGCTTAGAGTTAAGTAGAACTTGGACTGCTGAAATAAAGGGAAAATTATTTTAAGAAGAAGAGTAGAACAAACCACAGCCATGAAAGTAAGGGGTGGGGGGCTGGGGATTTAGGTCAGCGCCACAGCTCCTGCCTGGCAAGCGCAAGGTCAGGAGTTCGATTCCTGGTACCGGAGAAAAACCAAAAAAAAAAAAAAAAAAGGGATGGTATTATGTTCATATATTCATTTAGCAAACCCCTAGTAGAAGTGTAAGTATGGTATGACTCCTGCCTTAAGGCTCTTAGAATTGTTCACAGGAGGAAAATTATTACTGACATATCTGTACCTGGCATATATGAAGTGACCTGCATTGTGTTAAATGAATGAATGAACAAATATGGAGGGAGAAACAAGGGGGAGGGGAGGGAAGAAGAAGGTAAGAAGATGTACTTATGGAACTCCATTATAAAGCAAAAGCTAAGTGGTGTGTTAGCCAGCTTTCTGTCTCTGTGACAAAATACCTGAGAATAACAACTTCATGGAGGAAAGGTCTATTTTGGTATATGGTTGCAGAGGTTTCAGTCCATGGTCAACTGGCTCCATGACCTTGGAGACTGGAGGAGGAGGCTGAGGACAAGCTACAATCCCCAAGCTCACTTCCCCCATGACCCATGCCCTTCAACTAGGCCTCATCTCCTAGGTTTCCATTGCCTCCCAATGATGCCATCAAAATTATGGTCAGTGCACTGATTAAATTAGGATCCTCACAATCTCATCACTTCACAAAAGTGCAGAAGCTGCCAGCCGAGCCCCGAACAGTGCATCAAACAGGGGCCCTTTAGAATTAAACCATAATAAGTGACTATGAGTTCAGAGGAGGAACTGCTAACTTGAGCATTAGGACAGCGAAGAGGAAGTCACCCCACAAGGCCATGGCACAGCTTGGATCTTGTGAGCTTTCTGTTTGTATTCTCTGCCCTCTTTAGGACCTGTATCACCACCCGTCTGCCTCACTGGCCTCGCAGACCCATCCACCCGGAGCGGGTCCTTAAAGCTAACACATCCTTTTCTGCTATTTCCCAGGTCCTGGTGTTTGATTTTGGTAGTGAAGTTTACGTGTGGCACGGGAAAGAAGTCACACTGGCCCAGCGGAAAATCGCATTCCAGCTGGCCAAGCACTTATGGAATGGAACCTTCGACTATGAGAACTGTGACATCAACCCACTGGATCCTGGAGAGTGTAACCCGCTGATTCCCAGGTACTCCTGCAGCCTGGCGTCATGTGGCAGAGTGAGCGGGGTCCGCCTGCAGGCTGGATTCTTCCCGCAGTCATCCACTTGCTGCGCTTTATGTAAAGGCTTCAGTTTCATAAAAGATCTCAGGGCATGGGCCATGAATAGTCACAAAATGAGCACTTCTTTAGCTTCTACCAATCAAATCTGAAACTCAGACGTGTTGTAGTCTTCAGGAAGCTGTTTGTGTCATATTTCATTTTTGAAGCGAGCGGTAGACTCCCCCTGCCACATTCTAGGTGCTGCTATGCCAGGTGAACAGCAACTGTTCCAACAAATTACACCCTGAAAAGCTTCCTAGGATCTGGAATTCTGCCCCTGATCTGAAGGTGCAAAAGCTACATGTTTCCTTCTAATTTCGTAGCTCCACCGCGTAGAGTCCCAGGATTTATTTGACAGAGGATGCTGTCTGTGCTTCTTGAGGTGGAACCAAGGAGGAAGAAATGGTATTGAAATAACAAATAAAGTTTTCATATTCTCTACAGCAGACTGGGCTTTTAAAAGTTGTATTGGCAAATCAGTAGACTATATACACACTGTAAGAAATATGTTCATGGGGAGAAAACATTATTACCTGCAAAGGGTTATTGCTTTTTTTAAACACCAGACTCCCCCCAAATGATTTTTATTTGTGCCACAAATAAATTAGAATGGTTATGCCACCAAACTGCACAGAATTGTGTTCAAATTTCAGGTTTCCCACCCAGTTTCTTGCATTAAAATTGAATTACTGATTTATTATTTCCATAGAGATTAAAAGTGGAAGGGGCTGGGGATTTAGCTCAGCGGCAAAAGCGCCTGCCTGGCAAGTGCAAGGTCGTGAGTTCGGTTCCCGGTACCGGAGAAAAACCAAAAAAAAAAAGAGATTAAAAGTGAAAATTATGTCAGGGTGGTGAAATATTTCAATTCCTTCTTAAGCCAACGCCTACTTAACATTAGAACTGTGACACCCAGGGTTTTAAGGGCCGGAAGGACAGCTGGGTTATTTCATTCGCTATAGTGAAATAACGCCGAAGAGGAGAATCCATGTGTGGCCAGCTTATATTCGGAGGTGACGTGATCACAGGTCTGAGAGTGGGTGGTGGCCACCTCACTCACTGTCTGCAGCATTCCTGCACCAGACTCCCGGGAGGAACTTAAACAGCACAATGCACATGCCAGGCCCAGCCCTGGGGATGTGCGGCAGCTCTTGTGAGTGTCGCTTAGTGTCGGGGTGTCGTGCCAGCGCCCCAAGGACTTTTAGGGGCCGCCAAGATTATGCACCCAGCCCTTCCTGACAGGAAGAGGCAGCAGCCGCCGGGCATAATGGTGCAACCCCGGGCCAAGGCGTTGGCGCACAAGGGGCTGGACAGACCCCTTACACTGGCGGCTGCTGTGTCTCCCCGGCAGCCTCATGGTTCAGGTGGATTCTCCAGTCGCTGCCATTTCGCTCCTTGCTCTCCCTAGAGCAGGGCAGAAGTACTTGCCTTCTGTGTGTTACCTGCTCAGTTCCCTTAGAGACAGGCAGCCTCTCTGATGCACCGTTGGATACTGTGGTGTTGAACAGACAGGAAGAGACTAGCGCGGCACGGTGGAGCCGTGAGAAGCACGGCTCGGTCAGCTGGGACAGCAGCACCCTGGTCCCTGCTCACAGCGCCAGCCTGGAGATCTGGAGGCGGAGGACCTGCCGTCATGCTGAGAGCTGTGCCCTCCACAGCACGTTTTCTCCGCTCGACTGTTTTCTGAATGACCTGTTTTTGGGTACAGCGTCCAATCCTATAATCCTGGGACGACGTCAGACCTCCTGTGTTATGGAGCCTTCCCTGCCTGAAACCAGTGTGCAGAAATTCTCTCTGCGCAAGGTGAAGCATAGTGCGTCCTTGTGTAACAGGAGACCGCGTGTCCCAGAGAGCTTGCTGCGGCAGGACAGGAAAGCACAGAGGATGTGGGGCGAGCTCCTTCCCTCTGTTGGTTAGTCAGAGGAGCCCCGTGACACCGTGGGTGACTGTGGCAGGCATAGTAAGCACGTAAGATAAACACATGTGCCGCCTGGGAGATCTGCAAAATAAGAATTGGCCAGAATGCAAGAGAAGCTCGGGCCTGACGTGGCTCACACCACATCGCACACCAAATGCACTGACACGAAGCCTCACAGAGCTCCTGGCTAAAGCAAGACAGTGTCACTTATTGGTGAAATAAGTGAAAATAAGCCATTCATTCTGTATACTGCTCATACAGTATTTTGATCTTTTTCAATAGCTGTGTATTGTCATTGTTATTGGGTGTTTTGGGGGGTGGACAGTACTAGGGATTGAAGCCAGGACCTTCATACTCAGCTACATCCCCATACTGCCAAGGCTGGGCTTGAACTTTTGATCCTCCTGTCTCAGCTTCCCAGACAGCGAGATTACAGGCGTGCACCACCACACCTGGCTGCTATGTGTGTTTTAGACATCTTGTCTTTGTATAGAGTGACTAAGTTGAGCTCTTTTCTTGTCCCCTTCCACTCCACAGGAAAGGACAAGGGCGGCCTGATTGGGCAATATTTGGGAGACTTACAGAACACAATGAGACTATTTTGTTCAAAGAGAAATTTCTTGACTGGACTGAACTGAAGCGACCTGCTGAGAGGAGTAGTGGGGATCTTACTCCGCAGAAGGTATTCCAGTGAGCAGGCCTCGTACTCAGAGCTGGGTGTGGTCCCAGCAAAATGTGCCTGGATGGTCAGAGGCTTCCCAGGGTGCGCCAACAAAAGAGCAGAGGGATTTCCAATGACATCCTAAACTCCTCTGCTGTCACACTGTCATTCAGGCCTCCCAGAGGCCTCCCTCAACATGCAGGCCACAACCCCAAGGCAGAGTTTAAAGCTGTCCTTTCAGCTGTCCCTGTGACAGTAAAAACAGGGCTATTGGGGGTGTGCCTTGGGGTAGCGTGCTTGCCTAGCAAGTGGCGTGGGTGAGCCCTGGGTTCCATCCACAGCACCACAGAGGCTGAGAGGAGGGAGGGAGGGTGTGAGGGAGGGAGGGAGGGAGGGAGGGAGAAAGGAAAAAAGGGAAGGAGGAAAGAAGGAGGAAGGGAGGGAGGGGGAAAAGGAGGGCAGGTAGTTGAAATAGCGTTGAGCATGTTAGGAAACGGCTGTAGGATCAGAGGCAACTGAACACACATTTGTATGTTCCCTGGCAGGAAGACCCCAGGGCTGACGTCAAGCCCTATGACGTGACGCGGATGGTGCAGCTGCCCCAGGTGGTAGCCGGCACCATCCTGGACGGGGTGAACATTGGCCGCGGCTATGGCCTGGTAGAAGGGGACGACAGGAGGCAGTTTGAGATTGCCAGCATCTCCGTGGACGTCTGGCACATCCTGGAGTTTGACTACAGCCGGCTCCCGAAACAGAGCATCGGGCAGTTCCATGAGGGTGATGCCTATGTGGTCAAGTGGAAGTACATGGTGAGCACTGCAGGTCAGTGACACTTCGGTCTCTCTGCGCAGAGCAGGGCTGGAGAGCAGGACCGCTGCGCCTGGGGACCCCCGCGGCGTGCATGCGGGGGGCGTGCTGGCTGCGTACTGCTGCGGTCTGCCTAGCAAGCCCCACACACGGGAAGCGAGGCGGGGCTGCTCCCAGCCAGCATCGCTGCGTCTCTGGTGCTCACTGACAGGAAGCAAACCTGACACTCGGGTTTCTCCGAGGCCCTCACCGAGTCCCCTGCCCCGTCCCCGTGGGTTTTCCGGGAAAGCGATTGCTTGCCTCCACGTGATCACTGAGCCATGTGCCGCTCCAAAAAGTCACTAAGTAGAAGACATCTTGGTGATTTAAAGTGGAGCCAAAATGAGTGACATTTTAGCAAATATACTACAAAGAGGCTGGTTTGTTTGTTTGAAGTGAGAGTTCTGGAAATGTAGCTCAGTGGCACAGCACTTGCCTAACACATGTGAGGTCCTGCGTTCAATCCCCCCGAGCACTGAAGAAAAAAAGAGTCTGTTTCCTGGGAGCCTGGGAGCGCTGACGGCACTGTGCGTCAGGACTGTGTGGTGAAATGTCCTGAGAGTTCTGAGGAGGGGTCCTCGCGCTTTGGAGGTTTGGTCAGTTCCTTGCCAAGTAGTAGCCGCTGCCCACAATGCCCCTCGCCAGGGAGGAGAACACTTCCGTCACAAGCCTGATTTTGTGACTCACCTCACCAGAAAGCTTATGGACCTGCTTGCTGACTGTTTCTGGAGGCTTGGGAAGCCAGGAAGCACAGCAGGTGTTTGCAAATGAGAAATCTAACTGAGAACCCTCTGACTGTTTTCCTGCTGAGGCTGCTAACCAGTGGCCGTCACTCACTGAGCACTGACTCTGGTGAGACACGTGAGGGGCTGACTAAGCACGTCAGACCCTGCCTCCAGGCAGCATGTGGCATAAACCACGACGACCACGACGACAACGAAGCAAGCGTAGGAGAGGGAGTGTGTGCCGTGGTACTGAGGGGAGCGAGTTCCTCGACATCGGCTCTGCCAGCAGTGGGGAGGCCCAGGAGGCCAAGATGTGGGCGGCCACCAGATGGGCGTCCCCGGCGGGGTGGGATGGTGTGGCGAGCAGATCGGGCTGCAGCTTGGAGCATCCCACTCGCCATGAGCCGTGACGCTGGTGGCCGAAGCCGGTGCATCTTGGTGACTCCCCTTACACCAGTTTCTCGGATGAGCAAGAGAACAAGATTGAGTAACTTACCTGAAATCTGCCAGTAGGGGGCAGAGTTGGCCACGAAAACCCCAGCTGGCCCCTTTCCAAAGCAGAATGTGCCGAGACCCCGCTGTACTGTTCATCCTGCAGGAGCGAGGCAGAGTCTGAGTCCCAGCACAGGACCTGGGGCGACAAACGTTGGCCACAGGAGAGAACAATGGCCAGGCACCAGGTCACAGCGGAGCCAGGCGCACGGCTGAGCCCCTGAGCACAGCAAGCCTGCGAGACCTTGCTAAGTAGCACTGAGCAAAACCAAGGTCTTGCAGGGCCGCTCCTTCCAGGTGGAAGCGGGATATGGAACAGAACCCCAGGTGGAGGGACGTTACCCGTCTATCTCTTTCCTTCCTTTGTGAAATCAGAACTGCGCCTGACCCTTCCCGAAGGAGACCGCTCCCCGAGGAGAGCCCATGGGCTCCAGCATCCGGCCAAAGAGCCAGAGGCCCAGGCCTTGCTCACCGGCTGTGCATGCTGCTGAGGGAGCACGACCGGCCTGGCTTGGTTTTCTCCCCGGCTCAGGTTGTAATCTGGAGTGTGTGATCCTAGCGCCGTGCCTGGAGCGTGCCCCAAGGATCTTCCTCGCCCAGTGGCCTAATCGCTGTCTTCAGCCAGAAGACGAGGTCACGCGGGCCTACCCAGAGTAACACGGTGCCCAGAGACTCACCAAGGGGACCTCGGCTCCCTGACGTGACGCAAACCACAAGTGGACAGGACAGTCTGCACTGCTGGTGGCGATGGAGACAGTGGCAGGGAATTTATGTGCAGAGAGGCAGGGACTACGAGGCTTAGAGCTGTGGGACGAGGAACTTGGAGGGAAAAGCTTTAAAGGCACTTGTATTTCCCAGGGTGCACACAGGGAAGTATGTGTTTGATAGAACCAGACGGAGGGACGGCATAAATCAGTACGTAGCCACTTTCTCGTCTTCGCTGTTGTAAAACAGAAGCAGCAAGTGAATGAACGGCTAAAACCACGTTACAGTGAATTACTGTCATGTAAAAGCATCAGTCTAAGGTTTCCAAAGTTTTCATTGACTACTTACTTGGAGGCTCCTAGGAAATAATGACTCGACCCAGGCGATCCCTTTTAAATTTCTTCCCAATAAACAGTGTATGTCGCACAGCCAGCTCCAGCAAGATCTTTATGAGCAAAGTTACAGCTTTGAAAACCTCCAGTGCCAGAGAATGAAGTTAGAGCAGGGTGTGTTCAGCCTGCAGCACCTCCATCCAGGAACACAGCAGCCAGCCCGCGGCACTTACAGTCACTTTGTGGCCATCTCAGAAGCGCTGGCCCTTGGAGACTGCTAGTCCAGCTCCCCACCACTCATACCGCATGAGGGATGCACTCGCAAACCAGACTGAGCTCAGAGCTGGGGGCGCTCATCCTGGTCAGGGTGAGCAAAATCTGCAGCTGTAGAGGGAGCACAGTCTCCTCTTCGAGGGTGCTAATGGCCGTGTGGGTCACCATCTGTGCTGCCCCGGGGCCATCTGCAGGGTGCAGCTACAGGGTATGGCTTGTGCCTCTGCAGGGTCAGGAAACCCAGCCTGAAGAGCCCAGTGGTTTGGGGTCAGGCTACTTCAAGCAGTGATGTACAGTCAGGTTCCTAGAGGGCTGTGCTTAGCAAAATGCTGTAAGAAATTTTCAGATTAACTTGTGAAAACTGTTAAAGAGTACTTCACTAAGAAAAGGATCAAAAATCAAACAGCATGGCCCTGACCTCTGAAGAACTTGAATGAGTTCTCCTCATACCTTCAGACCATCACACAACTCAAGTTTCATAAATGGTGCTGGAGCAAAGAAAGATGGAAGAAGTCACGTGGACCCAGAGAATGCTGTTATTATCATTAATTTTTAATCTGTATGGCTGTTAACAACAACTACATTCTATTCTTATTGACCCATTGCTCATCAGCTTTCTGTTACTGTAGCAAAATACCTGAGATTATAAACCTATAAAGAAAAAAGGTTAATTTGGGCTCATGGTTCTAGAGGTTCCAGTCGTGGTGTTGCCCTGGGCCTCTGGCAAAGACAGCACATCATGGCAGAGAGAAGGTGATAGATGAAAGTTCATTTCATGGCCTGGACGTGAAAAAGGGAGAGAAAGGAAGAGATGGAGTCCCGTTCTCACCTTCAAGCTGTGCCCCCAAAATCTAGAAGACCTCACACCAGCCTCCACTTACCTACCTTCTCCAAAGGACCTTGCCTGAGCACAACCCTTACTGAGCCAGAGGTCATGGCTGCCATCCACTCTCATAACATTTATCACTGTCTAAAATTGTCCTGTTCTGCTTGCTGATTAGAATGAATATTCTGCAGTGCTCTGCAGCTTGACCATTGGCCGAGCAACCTACGATGGTCTTCAGAGCCAGTGGCTACATCTGCCTCCTCTGCTGCCCGTGTCTACTGAGTGCTCACAGGGTGCCAGACAGGAGGGACCCTCAGCGCCTCTGCCTGGCCACCCTGTGGGGACAGGCGGGAAGTCCCTGATTATGTAATGAAAGGGATAAGCCAGCAATGCATCTCTCCCATTTCTGACAGAACTTGGAAACTTCAAAGCTGTCATCATGTTTTTTGTTGAAACTAGAATAGTCTGCATTTTTTCCTTTGCACTTAAAGCCGGTCCAGCTGTTGTTTTTAGTATTGTTCCCCAACCGGCTAATCTTTTGCCAAAGCATGGCGTAATGCGGAAAACACGCGTGTGTCTGTGTGAGCCCTTGGTCTGGCTCTGGCATCACTGTTTCTCCCTGTCGCACACTCGGAGGGACCCGCCACCTTCCTCTGGGGTGACACACGTGCCTGTGGGTATCAGGAGGCCCATCAGGCATGTTTCCTGTGTGGAGAGGTGGCCTCCCTCTCCCGGGGTGTGACTCACCTGCCCTTAAGGTGCACAGGTCTCTCTCGGCCCCACGTCCTGAGGCGAAGTGCTTGCTGGCCCTGTTGTTCTCAGCTGCCTCCTCACCCTCTGTCCTTCCATGTTTGCAGTGGGAAGCAGGCAGAGGGGAGAGCATTCAATCCGAGTGGCCGGCAAGGAGAAATGCGTCTATTTCTTCTGGCAAGGCCGGCACTCAACTGTGAGTGAGAAGGGAACCTCGGCCCTGATGACGGTGGAGCTGGATGAGGAGAGGGGCGCCCAGGTAAGATGCTGCTCCGGGACCCCAGAGGACACTGCCCAGCCGGGTCCTGCCTCTGCAGATGTCTCATCCTCCGCACTGCACTTTCACCTGGCAGCCAGTGTCGTGTCTACAAGTGGCCAGTCCACAAAGCCATGCCCGTGGCCAGTGGGTGTTTCTGAAGGTTTCCACCAAACTGATTTAAAAATCAAACAAGGAGATTCATAACCCATTTCTAAAATTGGTAGATTTTCCGAATACTGGGTGCCCAGCTGGCAAGGATCTAGTATCGCAGGCCCTCTGACGCTTCTCTCAGGAAGCTCCACTCAGGAGAACCATCCTGAAGAGCACCGTGGGGTCGAGACCTTGAACATGATCAGCTGCTCCACTTACACAAGTCCACCTGGAGGAAGTATCAGAGATCCGTGTGGAACATGGGATATTCCCACTGGGTGAAAAATCAACCCAGGTGACTTTTTCCAGAGCACACTGCACTGTGTCACGGATCCAAGTGAGCTCCCAATCGTTTCCAACCCTTCCTGTTGTCCTTACACACCTCCCAGCCGCGCCCTCCTCCTCTCCTCCTCCTCCTCTTCCTC